CTGAAATGTATGCGTTGCAGGGGGTACCAATGACTACCTTAGCCAGATCTATTCCCTCCATTTTCCAAAAATGATGTGCTTTTCGGCTACCCAACCCCCTTAAAATACATTTTTCAAAGAAGGGTATTCCCCAGAAAAAAAAATAAACATTCCCGGGGATCCTGGAAAAACCAAACCCGTAAAATGTATTAAACCATCCCCCCAAAATAAAAGATCCTGGGGGGGGTTGGATATCCCGACCCATGGACCCTACATTTAGCGTACACCCACCGGTCAAATAATGTATTTAGGGGGGGTCCTGGGGAATCAAATTCTTGGAGAACGGTAAATGTATTTTTTTTACCTGACCTCTCCCCCCCTAAAATACATTTTTAGGGGTGGGTGATTATATATGTATATATGTATATGTGTATATATGCATATATGTATGCGATATGTGTATATATATATATACATATGTGTATGTATGTGTATATATATATATGTATATATATATATATGTATACGTGTGTGACATATATCGTGTTCGATTCATATGTGGAGATATGCATATACAAATATGTATATATAGTATATACATATATTATGTCACGTTAGATTTGACTTATCCCTATATATGTGCGTGATATGTGTATGTATATTGTTGCATCTGTGTATTTTCCTTCTGTCTTGCTGTGGCCCGTTGGGGCCCAGTATTGGCCTTCCCGCCTCTTGTGGGAGGAATGGAAATCCGCCTTCTGCAGGCCCCCGGAACAGCATTACGTCATCCTTGCGCTGGTTACGTTTGCGATCACATGGGATAACGTCAATAGCGACTTTCTAGCCATGGGCATTCACCAGTTATGCATATTACATATTATATACGTAGATCATTGAACAGCAATGTTAATAAATATATAAATAATATGTGTGTAATATATGTATGAATACAATATTCCCTCGGTAAACTAACATAACATAACTATGGAAAATCACCATGCTATTAATGGGAAAACTCACTATTTCCATGGGCCATTTTCCATAGCAAACTGTTAGTTTACCAGAGGGTATTTACACTACAATCTATGATGCGTGGTACTGGCTTCAGAAGGTCAAACTTCGACTTTTTCATCTTATTCGAGGGAGACCGAGATGCTACCGCATCTCCCGCCTATTGCATAAGCTATCTCCAATTCCAATGGATTCTCATCATTTTCCCGAGCAAAATTGCTATTTGATGCTATTTGGGTATATATACCCTTCTTTCAAACACGCCCATATCCATGTGTGTGTGTGCTAAGGTAATCATCCTTTGCCAAATCAACCCGGTGAGTTGTCCGTATCATTCGACCTGGGCTGGAGAAATTTCATATGTTCCGACTTGGCTACTCATAGTCGCAAGATGTCGACTATGCGACGTCTTAAGAGGGGCTTACCTGCTGTGATGCCCAATGAACATAGTGTCACATAATGCCAGCCATGTTCATATTCAGAAGAATTATATATCAATCTCAAAAAACAAGGCCCGTTGAGGCAGGAGACGCACATCGCATTGAACTGTGTGAATCGAATCAATGGTCCACTGTCAGTCCAGCGTCTATCATTGTTGCATATGGAGGTTTCCTAAAATGGGGGTGCGCCAAAACCATGGGTGTCAGTACTAAAATATACTAAAATGAGTCTAATGACTTGGATGATTTGGGTTATCCCTATTTTAGGAAAGCTCCATTGCTGGAGGGTGTAGCCACCCTTTCAAAATGCCATGCGACTTGACTGTCCAACTTGGCCACTGTGTCAGCAGCAACTTCCCACAGGCCCTTCTCTCTCCATGTCATTGTCTCCCAATAATTTCAACAAGATGTGAAGTAAAATTCATATGGAGGTCCAAAACTTTGCTTGTTTTTCCTAAAGTAGGGTAATCCCCCAAAAAAATGAAGTGAACATAGAATGATTCATCTAAAACATCATCAGTTTGGGGCCCAGTTTGGGGTGACTATGATGATCCGCGACATCGACATTCAGAACGGTTTTCTCACATCGCAATTCCCCGGCAAAACGCCCCCAGAAATGGATGCACAAAAAAAAACAGCTTAAAATACTGTAGAGGGCCTCCACAAACTCCCCATTTTTCTGGGTGAAATCCCCGACATTTTGGAGCCCAATTAGTACCGTTTCTGTCCCGGCCCCGGTCACAGGATGTTCCAAGCGTCTGCCACGACCACAGCGGGGTCGTGGGAGGAACAGAGCCGCTCTTGTGGCGACTGCCGCGTCTGGCGGCCGAGATGTGGGACCAGGGCGAAACCGATGAAGATATGGGGGTACTTCGCAGTGAATAAGGAGGACCAAGTAGGATGATGAAAATGAGGATGAGCATATATTAACCATCATGAACTATATGTTAACCCTATTTTAACCATCATTAACTATATATCAACATTATGTTAACCAAGGATCAGAGGATCAGAATGTGCGAAAAAAACCGTCGTCAAGTTGCAGTCGTCTGAAGGCCGGATTTTACGGATTTCACCTGACAGACTTTGGGTTGCCTTTGCTTGGTGGTATCGACATGCCACTTCTTCAGAGTTTCAATTTTCAGACATCCTTCCTTCTTCCAAGCATTTTCCCAATAGCGTGCATATGTGTACATGGTTGCTCCCAACACCCCAAATAGAGATAACACAAGGAGGATAATTGCCAACTTATGACCAAGTTCCCCATAGTTCTCCATAGTTCATAGCCTTATACTGCTGGAATACTATACTTACTATACCATGGAAATAGCAATTTTTGATCAGGATGTAGATGACCAAGTTCCCCTGCCCCTGGCCCAGGTGCCCTTCAAGTGCCCTTGGCCTTGGCACAAAGGTGCGTGGCTGCATGGCTAGAAAAGACCTCGGTGGTGAAGTGCTGTGCAAATGACACGTGTTGATCTTTCATCCCTGGTAATTTTGACCGTTTGCCATGGCAAATTGCCCAGTTATTTAGAAGATTTATATAGCATATCAAACATGATGATTTCTATGGGTATGTCAAACTACCAGATGGCCAATGTTCTTCTAGTGACATGGCCCAGAGACAAACATGAAGTTACTATGCTTTAGAGATCATTTACTGTATCAAGGATGATTTTTTGCCAGGAGACTTTTTCTTTTCCGATTCCTATCAAAAAAAAATGTCAAAGATGCTCAAAGTAAACCCATTCACTGCTCACCACTTGCGAAATACCAGTGTCTGGGTTGAGTCAAAATACTCAAATTCCAATTATTTGTTCCCTTATTCATGACCAATCTTGGTTCCCCTGCAAATTAATTTGCTGATAGGTACATATCCTCATTGCAATTGAAGTAGTAAACTATCCATCACCAGCTGGTTTGCCACCATCTTTGATGGTTAACCAAATGATTTTTTGTTACCCCAAACATCCATGGTTGATCATGGTTGATTGTTAAATCCCGACCGATCCAGTTGGTTGTTCATTATGCTGATATTTATATTCACTCCCATATCTATATATATATATTCCCATCATGTCCCCATATTCGTTGGTTCTAACCATTGCTGTACCCAAAATAGACCATCCCCCTAATTATGTTCTAATATTCAACACCCATGGCATGGTTCCAAACATATGTGTTTTATCCCCTGTTAAACCGCGCTTTCTTGGGGGTGTTTAATATTGTTAGGGTGGTGGGATGATAGATCTATACCATGACCAATAGCACTTTAAATCCCATGAAATTCCTCTCGCCAATTCCCATAATCAGATTTATTCCATTCAACCCCATAAAATTAGATGATTAAGACCAGTGATATTAGGGAATTGGCATTTGTTATATAAATCCCATGGAGTTTGCAGGGGGATGGGATTATAGACCATGGAATTATATGATTGGACCATTTCTACTATTGATCTCTATAATATATATATATATATGGATTATACATGATTATACCATATAAGATCGTACTATAAATGGCATATATGGGATATATATGGTGGTGATCTATATAAGTATATATATATATATTTATTTATTTACTTATTTACTTATCTATGTATATCTACATTTATAAAGAAAAATAAATACATGTGGTAAAAAAAAATAGGTGATTGTAATATATAAATAAATAGATAGATAAATAAATAAAGTCAATCTTTGTATATTAACATATGAATATATATATGTGAATATTAATATAATTAATTATATATATATGTATAAATATTATACCGTCCCTCTCTTCCTTTCAACTGGCTCAAAAACAAACTCCCTCACGCTCGATGCATCCTGGCCGCAAAGTTGGTACAAACAAACATCTCGTGCTGCGCCACTCCACGCGCCTGGCTAAGCGCAAAGTGGGAAGGCCTGAGGTTTCCCAAAAATAGACAGGAAAATGATGGAAAATGATGGTTTAATAAGTTACCAATCTATAATAGGATAAAACCAGACATTTCATGAGGTGATCAGAATCAATATGGAGTTTTGTTTGTTGTTTCTTCCTGAGATTGGATTTGGGTATTCAAGGGATTGGTTCAAGGGAAAATCTACAGGAAGCCATGGGATTTCAACCAAGCCTGGGAGGTATCATACAGGTAGGCTTTGGGTTTCAAGGCAGGAGGATTGAACAACCAGGACTTTAGGGATTCAAGTGGCCACAATGGGATGTTAAAAAGATGCAAATTGATGTGTATATATATATAATGATGTACTGTATATACATAATGCCATATATCACATTACATGGCCAACACGGGCTAGACAAACACACACACACACACCACATACACATATACACACACATATATATATATATAATTATATATATATATATGATGGTCAATGAGAGTGTCTGAAAATAGGCTCCCCAATGGTCCCCCCCGGCAGTTGGTCATCTTTGGGATCTGACCCATAGCCACAGAGGGGAACACTGAGGAGTGCATACTCTTGTGGGATTTCTAAAAACATACTTAAATGATCCGAAGTGAACTTGACTGGAAACCAAAACCACATACTTCATACTTAAATCAAGCATCTCAAAGTCTCATTCACTAGAATCTAGAAGTAAAGCACCCGTCTTTTCTGCAACCTTGCGGCGGCCTTTTTTTGCGCAACGCGACACCATTTCCAGCTGTCGGACTCTCTGCTTCGCAGGGATGACCGGCATGGACGCTAATCCATTCCCATATCACAATTAAATTTCAAAGTGAACAACTCAAATTAGTATTTAAAATAGTATTGAAATTCCAGCTCATACCAGTAGTATTGGAATGGTATTGCTATTAAATCCCAATACAGATTGTTGTGATTAGTAGCGGATCTAATTCGAATACCATTCCAATCAATACTCCAAGACCAATAACAATAATACCCTCCAGTGACCCTGCCAGATAAGGCTTGGAGGATGAGTCTCCACTAAAATTGCTGATGTTCAGGGTCTATGTTAATTTGCCAGAGAATAAACCCACTAATAACCATTAATAGCCATTATTAACCATTATTGACCATGATTAACCATTATTAACCCAAGATTAACAAAATGGGTGTTTTAAGTGAAACTCCTGTGACATCGTGGAGCTTCAGCGGCTCACTTCGGCTCCACTTTTCGGGTGGTCAGCCAGTCCATCCCTTCGTACAAGCCATCTCCTGGCAAGGCCGCCGAAGGCTTCACTTCCCAAAAGCAAAAACGAAGTTCTGTCATGTTCCAAGGTTCCCCATTTATGTGCAAAAATTGCAACATGGGCGTTTCTCAGGTGGAAAATGGACACAAAAAGCTCACCAACTGCCAATTTTTTCTGGGTGCTCCCAACATAGATAGCAACAGACCAATTTTAAATGGATTCATGCTGGGTATCGCTCACAATTGGGTACAACCCCACATGGGATAGTTTACAAGTGTACAATCCTAAAAATGACTATACCAAATCTATATATCCCCTCATGTCCGACCATGTCCCCTCATTCTTAAATGTTGATCCGGAGTCGTGTTCTCATAATATACCAATTGTTCATTGATTATTGGGTGTACCGCATTATAAGCAAGAAGCAACTCGTTGATGATGACCAGGTTTTACACAGTAAAATAATTCATTGGCTTTTTTTCCAATAGCTAAACCCCCTAGATGGGTACCTTTTCTCTATCCGACTCTATCTCTTTGGATCTCTTATTGATCACAAAAAAAAACGCCCCAAGCTGGTATGGGTCTCCTGATAGGGCGCAGGAGGTCTGAATGAACCACTGCCTGCGGCGCAGAGTGTTGAGGCCCAAGGCGTCGATAAGTTCGTTCTTGCTCATAGCGTTCGGAAGGTCCTCCGAATTGCAGAGTTGGTGCCCTGTGAAAAACCCTGTAGAATGCTACAGATGTCCATATCTCCCAACAGACCCCAACAATTGGACATAGTTAGACTAATTAGTACAAATCACTTAGCGATTCCGAACTGAGGCACCACCTTGCGTGGGGAAAGGATCAATGGAACTAGTTTGTTAGGTACTGTAGTATATGGTATGGATCATTGGAGCCGTTTTCTTGGGGTGTTTCAGGGAACAAGAACAGGTACAGTAAAGCTTAAAAACCTGCATATGCTTCATGACTTTGGATGGGTGTAAGTGAAGAATAACAAATCAAGAAAACCCGGTTTTGACCGTTCAACACTGGTCCACTGGTGGTGTCCCACCTTCCTATTGGCTTTCCTGTTAACCGATTCTGGGCATCGATCAATGGAGTGGTCGAAGGAAAATTACAGGAAAGCAGTTTGAGCATAAAATCATATAGGATATCAATGACATATATATATATATATGTGTGATTATATATGTAGATTCTCCCATGATATGAAAGAATATCATACGATATCTAGTGTAGTATTGAAACCATCGGTTTTCCACATCTCCTTAGATCTGCACTGCTGCATTTTCAGATGGCATCTTCAGCTGGCATTTTCTGCGTCGGTGTGTCCAATCATGCGGGATGTTAACAATAAAATCTGGACTTTAGACCAACCGTTTTGTCTGGACATTAGACCAGTCAATTTATGGGGATACGTGATACGTGTATAATCTTGTATCTTGTATGATTGGAATATACCTACACATACCTACTGTGATTTGGGTAGTTTTTGGAGATGCAACCAGCAATCTTTAAACACGGAACCCCAACATGATCATATCATGTCGCTCAAATCGCCTGGAGGAACCTCGGTGTCAAGTTCGTGAAATCTACCGGGTGCACAAAAAAGATTGATACGATGTTCCTGATTTCACAAACATGAAAAAACCTTGTTAATGATTTATACCAACATGATCAGGTTATGTTTATAGCTGGCTAATGATGACAAAACCAGGGAATTTCACGGGCCACCGATTCTCATCCACATTGGAAAAAAATCGAGGCCGCAACCAGATCAACCTGGAGTACGCCATGCCCGGGCCCTGCGGCCCCGCCTGTTTGTTGGCCCAAAGCAGCAGCACCGCATTGCTCATCTCCTCCTCATTCAGCATCAAATGGAGTTCTTCCCTGGCCTCTTCTAGGCGATCACCTGGTGCGTCCGCGGAAAAATCACCAGGTGAGGTCCCAAATGATAGCTAAGATGGATTGGAACTCCAACAACTAGGGCCTAACTAGGGTTTATGGCAAGTGTAGCTACCGCTAGTAGATGTTTATAGGATCTGAGAGGGTTTATAATGAAACTTGTAACCCGGGGGACCACCTTGTATCTAGTCATTGGGAATCATCATCCAGCCTAGTATGGTTTTTCAATAAAGGTATTGCAAACCACCAGCCAGTGCATTCTATCGGATAAATACAAATAAAACCAGCATATGATTACTAGTATGGTTTTTCAAAGAAAGCTATTGCAAACCCTCTCTATATCCCTTTTCAAAAAATAACCATTTCGCTGAAACCACGAATCGTCACCAGTCCCAGTGACGGTCAGTGCTATCCACCACAAAGATCAGCCGCGTGGTGCCTTTAAAGTATTGCCGCCACTTTGGGCGAAGCTTCTCCTGCCCCTCGCCTCCCAGGTCCAACACAGTGATGGAGGTGTTCTTGTACTGCAAGGATTCCACCTGAAAGCCTTCAAATGGCGTGCTCGTCGCCTGGAAGTTGAGGTGGGCGATCATCCCGACAAAAGGCGATCCGGTGTTTTCCATGGAGCAATGAATTTCGGAAACGAAAAACACCAAACATCGCCAAACGAAACAAGGATGATAGTTGCTTTGCTATGGCGATGGAAGCCAAATGTGCAAACATCAAAAAGAAACTCATTGAAAGCACCATCACCATCCAGTTACCACTTTCCCCAACTGCAGCTTCTGCAAAACAGTGCTCTTTCCTGCAGATTCCAGCCCCACCATGAGCATTTTCACCTCCGGTGAGCCGTTGATTTTGTAGCACATCCGGGTCAAGCTATACCGGAGCTTCGTGACAGCATTTCCCATGGGTCACACCATGGGCGATCCCGCTGGCAATCTACCACTCTGGCATCTTTTCAAAAAAAAAACTTCGAAAAAATCGCAGGTGACATCACTGGTGCTGTTCTTTCATCACACATCTTCAAACGCTGCTTTGGTTTTTCTTGAAATAGGCAAGATGGTACCCCAGAATCTGAAGAAATGGCTACGATCCATGTTCATCCATAGCGAAGTGGCGGCCGGGTAATGTTGGGTAATGTTCCACTGGCTTCTCAAATATGGCAATGCAAAACAACCCATTCATACGTAACTTATATATTATATGTATATATAGGTTGAATTTATACTATGTTATAGTATACTAATTTATGTATGTCAAATTATATATGTTCTATAGTCATAGTTGACTCAATCAACTGGATAAATTTACACATGGTGTCTTTTTGTTTTTTGTTTTCTTTTATCACATTGTTTGGTTGGAACGTTCCAGTCATCAGGCACTAGCTTAGCAGCTAATCGTCGACAAGTCTTGGCCGCAGAAACAACCACTTGTACATCACTACCAGTGCTACCAACAAGACTTTCAGCCAAACACACCTGAAACCGTGCAAACATCCACAACTCACTTCCGTTAGTTCTTCGAAAATCCAATCCCCAAAGAAGCCACGTTTTGACCGCTGCAAAACGATGCAAATCTAAAGCTCAACTTGCTGTAACAACCACCAAACCACACCATGAAATGCCATTGATACCCATCTGCAAATGTCACAGCACGCCCTGCTTCACAAGGATATGCCAAACAACCGGAAAACAATAGAAATCAACACAACCATCAGACGAATTCCTGTTGGAACGCATCCACTACACAAGGAAACGCCCCGACAATCTCAAAGAGACTGCCTCTATCCCTACCTCCGTCTATCAGCTCAGCGCTTAGAGGACAAAGTGCGGGAAAGCCAATCCAAGCCTTCGTACAAACCATCGCCAGTGGTTGCGCATGCGGACTGGATGAACCACTGGCGATGACGAAGGTTGTGAAGGCCAAGCTTCTCAGTCACTTCTGCCGCGGTCATTGCTTGTGGCAGGTCCTGTCAAGTGTTATCAAGTGTTGACATACAAAAGTTCATGTCACTTGGGAAATCAGGACATGGACATTGTAGACTTAAAATGTCTGAAAACACATCGATGAACTGAAAGACGTATGCATCTGCACCCCCACTACTGATTTGGCCAAGATGTCCACACTGAGATTCAGCAACTCGTGCGTACTGCAAGTATTATCAAGTAATTATGCACGCACCACTCCCTACTTCTTGCAAACATGCACCGGGAAACCGCGAAAGAAGAACAGAAGACATGAATAGAACAAAACGAAACAAAAATAAACATAATACAACGGCCCCAGCCTGCTTGTTGGCAAAAACCAGCAGCACTGCATCACGCATCTCGTCCTCATTCAACATCTTAGTGAGTTCCTCCCGGGCATCCTCAATGCGATCACGGTCATTGCTGTCAACGACATAGATCAGTCCGTTGGTGCCCTGGTAGTAGTGGCGCCACAGAGGGCGAATCTTGTCCTGGCCTCCCACGTCCCACACGGTGAAGGACAGGTTCTTGTACTCCACAGTCTCCACGTTGAAACCAATAGTTGGAATAGTAGTCACAACTTCACCCAACTTCAGCTTGTACAAGATGGTCGTCTTACCTGCGGCATCCAAACCCACCATCAGGATTCTCATCTCCTGCTTGCCGATCATGCGCTGCCATATCTTGGTGAAAGCAAGACCCATTGCGTCCCTCTGCGGCTTACGACTGACACTCGGAAGATAGCAAACTACTCTGAGAGACAATACAATCAGAAAATTGTAGATCATCAACGGTCATGCACCAGAACAACAAGCAACAAGGCGAGGATTCCCAAGAGAAAGAGAGCGGCGCTGTGTGTACATACACAAACTATGTATATACATATATAAACACATAAACATATATAAACATATGTATACAATTTTGATGCATTTATCTGTTCATTCTTTCTTTATGTATAATACGCATAGATCTAATCCTCAAATTTCACAACCTTGCTGTGCGAAATTCTGAAAGAAGCCACCTCAACCGGAACGGTGCTTTTTTGACTGCTGCAAAACGTTGCAAATCCAAAGCTCCACTAATGACATCTAATATCATCTAATAACCACAAAAACACGCCATGAAATGCCATTGATACCCATCTGCAAATGTCACAGCACGCCCTGCTTCGCAAGGATATGCCAACCAACCGGAATTACAAGAATCAACACAATCATCAAACGAATTCCTGTTGGAACGTATCCACTACACAAGGAAACGCCCCGACAATCTCAAAGAGACTGCCTCTATCCCTACCTCCGTCTATCAGCTCAGCGCTTAGAGGACAAAGTGCGGGAAAGCCAATCCAAGCCTTCGTACAAACCATCGCCAGTGGTTGCGCATGCGGACTGGATGAACCACTGGCGATGACGAAGGTTGTGAAGGCCAAGCTTCTCAGTCACTTCTGCCGCGGTCATTGCTTGTGGCAGGGCCTATCAAGTGTTGACATAACAAAATGTTCATGACAAATGTTCATGTCACTTGGGCAATCAACAGAAAGACATGGACATCGTAGACTCGTAGACTTAAAACATCTTAAAACATATGGATGAACTGAAAGACGTATGCATCTGAACCGTCAATACTGATTTGACCAAGATGTCCACACTGAGATTCAGCAACCCGTGCGTACTGCAGGTATTATTACCAAGTAATCACGCACAAACCACTGCCTAATTCTTGCAAACATGCAACGGAACACCGTCAAGGAAGAACAAAAAACATGAATAGAACAAAACGAAACAAAAATAAACATAATACAACGGTCCCAGCCTGCTTGTTGGCAAAAACCAGCAGCACTGCATCACGCATCTCGTCCTCATTCAACATCTTAGTGAGTTCCTCCCGGGCATCCTCAATGCGATCACGGTCATTGCTGTCAACGACATAGATCAGTCCGTTGGTGCCCTGGTAGTAGTGGCGCCACAGAGGGCGAATCTTGTCCTGGCCTCCCACGTCCCACACGGTGAAGGACAGGTTCTTGTACTCCACAGTCTCCACGTTGAAACCAATAGTTGGAATAGTAGTCACAACTTCACCCAACTTCAGCTTGTACAAGATGGTCGTCTTACCTGCGGCATCCAAACCCACCATCAGGATTCTCATCTCCTGCTTGCCGATCATGCGCTGCCATATCTTGGTGAAAGCAAGACCCATTGCGTCCCTCTGCGGCTTACGACTGACACTCGGAAGATAGCAAACTACTCTGAGAGACAATACAATCAGAAAATTGTAGATCATCAACGGTCATGCACCAGAACAACAAGCAACAAGGCGAGGATTCCCAAGAGAAAGAGAGCGGCGCTGTGTGTACATACACAAACTATGTATATACATATATAAACACATAAACATATATAAACATATGTATACAATTTTGATGCATTTATCTGTTCATTCTTTCTTTATGTTTATTTATAATACGCATAGATCTAATCCTCAAATTTCACAACCTTGCTGTGCGAAATTCTGAAAGAAGCCACCTCAACCGGAACGGTGCTTTTTTGACTGCTGCAAAACGTTGCAAATCCAAAGCTCCACTAATGACATCTAATATCATCTAATAACCACAAAAACACGCCATGAAATGCCATTGATACCCATCTGCAAATGTCACAGCACGCCCTGCTTCGCAAGGATATGCCAACCAACCGGAATTACAAGAATCAACACAATCATCAAACGAATTCCTGTTGGAACGTATCCACTACACAAGGAAACGCCCCGACAATCTCAAAGAGACTGCCTCTATCCCTACCTCCGTCTATCAGCTCAGCGCTTAGAGGACAAAGTGCGGGAAAGCCAATCCAAGCCTTCGTACAAACCATCGCCAGTGGTTGCGCATGCGGACTGGATGAACCACTGGCGGTGACGAAGGTTGTGAAGGCCAAGCTTCTCAGTCACTTCTGCCGCGGTCATTGCTTGTGGCAGGTCCTGTCCAGTGTTATCAAGTGTTGACATAACAAAATGTTCATGACAAATGTTCATGTCACTTGGGCAATCAACAGAAAGACATTGACATCGTAGACTCGTAGACTTAAAACATCTTAAAACATATGGATGAACTGAAAGACGTATGCATCTGCACCCCCACTACTGATTTGGCCAAGATGTCCACACTGAGATTCAGCAACTCGTGCGTACTGCAAGTATTATCAAGTAATTATGCACGCACCACTCCCTACTTCTTGCAAACATGCACCGGGAAACCGCGAAAGAAGAACAGAAGACATGAATAGAACAAAAAGGAACAAAAATAAACACAATAAACTGGCCCCAGCCTGCTTGTTGGCAAAAACCAGCAGCACTGCATCACGCATCTCGTCCTCATTCAACATCTTAGTGAGTTCCTCCCGGGCATCCTCAATGCGATCACGGTCATTGCTGTCAACGACATAGATCAGTCCGTTGGTGCCCTGGTAGTAGTGGCGCCACAGAGGGCGAATCTTGTCCTGGCCTCCCACGTCCCACACGGTGAAGGACAGGTTCTTGTACTCCACAGTCTCCACGTTGAAACCAATAGTTGGAATAGTAGTCACAACTTCACCCAACTTCAGCTTGTACAAGATGGTCGTCTTACCTGCGGCATCCAAACCCACCATCAGGATTCTCATCTCCTGCTTGCCGATCATGCGCTGCCATATCTTGGTGAAAGCAAGACCCATTGCGTCCCTCTGCGGCTTACGACTGACACTCGGAAGATAGCAAACTACTCTGAGAGACAATACAATCAGAAAATTGTAGATCATCAACGGTCATGCACCAGAACAACAAGCAACAAGGCGAGGATTCCCAAGAGAAAGAGAGCGGCGCTGTGTGTACATACACAAACTATGTATATACATATATAAACACATAAACATATATAAACATATGTATACAATTTTGATGCATTTATCTGTTCATTCTTTTCTTTATGTTTATTTATAATACGCATACCCTCTGGTAATTTAACGTAGCTATTGAAAATGGTGATTTATAGTGGATTTTCCCACTAAAAATGGTGATTTTCCATAGCTATGTTAGTTTACCAGAGGGTAGATCTAATCCACAAATTTCACAACCTTGCTGTGCGAAATTCTGAAAGAAGCCACCTCAACCGGAACGGTGCTTTTTTGACTGCTGCAAAACGTTGCAAATCCAAAGCTCCACTAATGACATCTAATATCATCTAATAACCACAAAAACACGCCATGAAATGCCATTGATACCCATCTGCAAATGTCACAGCACGCCCTGCTTCGCAAGGATATGCCAACCAACCGGAATTACAAGAATCAACACAATCATCAAACGAATTCCTGTTGGAACGCATCCACTACACAAGGAAACGCCCCGACAATCTCAAAGAGACTGCCTCTATCCCTACCTCCGTCTATCAGCTCAGCGCTTAGAGGACAAAGTGCGGGAAAGCCAATCCAAGCCTTCGTACAAACCATCGCCAGTGGTTGCGCATGCGGACTGGATGAACCACTGGCGATGACGAAGGTTGTGAAGGCCAAGCTTCTCAGTCACTTCTGCCGCGGTCATTGCTTGTGGCAGGTCCTATCAAGTGTTGACATAACAAAATGTTCATGACAAATGTTCATGTCACTTGGGCAATCAACAGAAAGACATGGACATCGTAGACTCGTAGACTTAAAACATCTTAAAACATATGGATGAACTGAAAGACGTATGCATCTGCACCGTCAATACTGATTTGACCAAGATGTCCACACTGAGATTCAGCAACCCGTGCGTACTGCAGGTATTCTTACCAAGTAATCATGCACAAACCACTGCCTACTTCTTGCAAACATGCACCGGGAAACCGCGAAAGAAGAACAGAAGACATGAATAGAACAAAAAGGAACAAAAATAAACACAATAAACTGGCCCCAGCCTGCTTGTTGGCAAAAACCAGCAGCACTGCATCACGCATCTCGTCCTCATTCAACATCTTAGTGAGTTCCTCCCGGGCATCCTCAATGCGATCACGGTCATTGCTGTCAACGACATAGATCAGTCCGTTGGTGCCCTGGTAGTAGTGGCGCCACAGAGGGCGAATCTTGTCCTGGCCTCCCACGTCCCACACGGTGAAGGACAGGTTCTTGTACTCCACAGTCTCCACGTTGAAACCAATAGTTGGAATAGTAGTCACAACTTCACCCAACTTCAGCTTGTACAAGATGGTCGTCTTACCTGCGGCATCCAAACCCACCATCAGGATTCTCATCTCCTGCTTGCCGATCATGCGCTGCCATATCTTGGTGAAAGCGAGACCCATGGCGTCCCTCTGCGGCTTACGACTGACACTCGGAAGATAGCAAACTGCTCTGAGAATAAAAATAATGCCCAGGAATGTAATTTTCCCACACTTTCCATGCTTGACCTATTGCCTTGATAGCCTTGAGCTCACTTGGTGCCACGTTCTTGAAGGTACCCGCCTGTCATCATTGACACCTTGCAACAAAGTTATACAGCAAAAAAAACATGATGTGGGCCTTCCTACCTTGCCACTGGTTTGGAGTTGCCTAAGGCCTCCCCATGCCTCCCCACTCCCCCAACAAAATGGTGGAGCCTCCCCTTCCACAATCTGCCCTTTCTTCTCGTCGCTTCTCTCAAACTCCGACGCCTGTGCGGTGCGCTAACGTTAGGAGATTGAGTCCAAAAAACCATGGGTTCATCTTAGTAAAGGGTGAATATGGCATATGGGGGAAATCAATCATGGAAGATATGGAAGATATAACAATATAACACTAGATATATGATTTTGGCTTGTTAGACCCCATTAATTCAGTTGAAATCCCATGAAATCGCTGTAAAATCACCATGAAATTCCCATGCAATCCGGTTAACATCACCATGAAATTCCATTCAATTTTTCGCAGCCATCCCCGCCTCAAAAGTGACGATCACCGGATGGCCCTTGAAGTGCTGCCCAAGGGTGCCTGGCAACAAAACGTGGGATTTGACATGACTGATCGAACCAAGAGAACACTTGGGATTTAACAATAGTAAATCATAGTAAATCAATAAATCAAGAGAAAATTGGGATCTACCTGGTCAATTTAACATGATTTAACCATAGTAAATCAAGAAAACGTTGGGATCGGTCACAGCACAAACACGTGCAAATGGGACAGCACATGGCTGTGGATCCCCTACACATGGGCATTAGCCCTACACATGGGTATTAATTAATCGAGTTCAGTTCACAGAGTTGGGGAAGGTGTCCTCATAAAATGCTGATTCGAAATCTCTCCAGCATCATTTATAGTTTCCAACAGTCGTGAAAATTAGTCTAAGGTATCATAGGTATCATAGGTATCATGCATGCGTTTTAACCAGAAAACATTGAGATGATTTGAGATGTCTTTTTCAAATGTTGACCAACAGACGTATCACGTGGTTGGGAAACCCTGGATCCTTGGCTCCATGAATATGGATACCCATTGGTAGCGCCGTAGCTCCTTGGTGCCCTCCATTCACTGGGAAGAAACGTGGATTTATGTTCGCGTAATCTTAAAAAAACACACACAAATACCAAAGTGTTGATTATATATCAGGTTAAATCCCATCAACATCCCATCAAATCCATATAAACCCCATGAAATACCCAATGAAATATACATTGAATCCCATGATCTAGCCATTAAATCGCATGAACTCCCATTAATATCCCATGAATTACTGGAATCTGTTGTGGTTTATTTATATATTCCTTTCCTAAGCTCAGCCTCACTCCATACCACCGCCTGCAGCTTCCAAGGGCGTCTTGTGCGACACTACCAGCCTCGGAGGATGCGAAGTATGATTCACATCCAATGGGATGTGAAAAGGGCGAGATGGGATATGATGAGGAGATATGAGGAGATATAAATAGCTACCATCTGGTTATTTAACATAGCGATGGAAAAAAGCCCATTTATAGATGATTTTCCCATTAAAACCTCCATTTATAAGGGATTTTCCATGGCTATGTTAAATAACCAGAGGGTATAAATCATGGGTGATTTGGGTATTTAGTATAGAGCTCCCAAACAGATTGAACTGGTTTTTCATGTAACCCTAGTTTATACATGTTCCCCGCAACCCCCTGGTTCGCCCACACTCAAACAACACATCCAAACAATATGATATACTTATCACCAGAGGATGAATGAAAACACTGGCTATATGCAGTGATTTTGACTTTAAGTTTTCAGGATTTAGGGTTTAAATTTAGGGTTTTTAGGTTTTAGGGTTTTAGGTTTTTGGTGTTTGCTGTTTTGGAAAGTAAACAACTTAAACCGTGCCCAGGGATTTGAGCATGTCAAAGGATATGCGGGATTGGCCGCGGGCAAACCTAGGGGTTGCAGCGATGTACGTGTTTTGGGGTGCTATGAAATGGGGATTCGAACTGCAAACGTGCTTGGGGTCTATTACCATCTGGTAAACTAACATAGCTATTGAAAATGGCCAATTTATTGTTGATTTACCTATTAAAGTGGTGATTTTCCATGATTATGTTAGTTTACCAGAGGATAATCTTACGCAAACACAATTATACAAAGAACGTGGGAAAGCCCAAGAAAAGAGACCAAATTGGAGTTTCCATATCTATGTCGTTTTACTGGGGGTTCAAACAAGAATTACCAGGGTTTGAAACACAATTTGGTTCAACCCAACAAAACTATTCTATGGTCAAGTGAGTCGCCAGGTAACCAATTCTTGATGGGTAGATTCCCACTCTTGTTAAATACTTAATGATCGCTATTGGCACCACCAACAACAAGGCTTTAGCGATTCGTGGCGGTGAATATCTGCTTCACCATGTCAAAAAGGCCCAGCTCATGACCAAGCGCAACTTCCACCCAAACAAGCATTTTTAAGGAACCACAAGCGGAATCCAGGGAAGGGATTTCCAGGTACCACCCCTCAACTTTCCAAGAGTTGCATCAATAAAATACCTGCCACCAGGATCACCAGGACCAAAGTTTTTCCGATCATCCAACCGGTCCAGTGTCCAGTGCCACCAAGTTTCGGGGGAAGTGCTAAGCCCGAACAGGGCTCGGGTTCCACACAACTCTCCTGAGTGACTTGATCGACATTTTGATGGGGCCGCTGATCTGATTCCGATGGTTTTTTAGGAGCAAAATTCATGATCCATTTATATCCATTTAGTATGATTTGGCCAACCCTACATGTGATTATACATGGTTATCAAATGTTATCAACGGGTATTTTTTCCAACTAATCTGGCTAAGCCAGTGCCATAAACCTATGATTTGGGGATGGTGTCAAAGCAACTCATCTATGGTCATACTGGGAATGGTTTAGGGTTTAGAGTTTGCCAAATGATGGATAAAAAATGATGATATTATAATATGTTTAAACTTACCAGATCAGACGGGGACCTACTAGAAATAATGACGAAAACTGAAAACCAAGTTACAACCCACGCGGTCCTTAAAAGACCTGCGCAGATTATGGCCCCGTGCCCGCAAAAACACAGGTCTAAGCCCATACATGATTCCGGATGTGTATGTAAGGTATGGTAGGTGATTGTATGTGAATGTCTTCGAACGTATTGTGAACGTATTGCAAGGTACGTATGTGTATGTAGGTGAAAGTATGTGCATATCATTGCATATCTATATATGTACATAATGTTCATACATAATTACAAATTGTTTATTTACACACACATATATATAATTATATATATATACAAATAACCTGTGTATATATAGTTATATATATATATACAAATAACCTGTGTATATATAGTTATATATATATATATGTATTATGCATGCATCTTTATATTCACGAATCAATGTATGCACAAATCCACCCGAGGCAACCGGCCACGCACCAAGGCGCCATGCTAACCCACTGCACAGTGGGCTTCTGAGATAACCTCACCTGCAATGGCTTCAAATGGTAATGGTGATTTAAAGGAACATTATGAGTGGGATATCATTGGATCATCCTAGATGCCCTTGCTGGAAAAAAAACATGTCTGACCTCCTCCAAGCGGCACTGGGAAAAACTCGCCCTGGATCAGAAATGATCCACCAGTAAATCAGTTGTCCCAACTCACGGCAGGGTCAAGCTGTTAGTTGGGGGTCGAAAAACCACGTCCCGCCTGTGCCGTATTGTTATTCGGAAGGCAGTAGGAACCAGCCTAAGGAGCTGCACGGCAACTGAAGGCCCTGCAAAATAGGTGAATAAATGTGAATGGGGTTCCAGCTATACCATGCGATATCCATGTTTTTGGGGGTTGCCTTAGAGTTTGATAGGTTTTTGGGCCTGAGCCCGGCTTCCAGTTTCGGGTTCGCACCACTTCTGAGGAGGTTTGGGCTCACCCAGGCCGCAAAGGAGCAGGATGGATCGATGAAGATGTCGAAGATATTGCTGTGCATGTCTTTGGGTCTTTGGGTGGGTTTTTCTTCCAGCAATGTGTTTGAGGTGCCGTTTGGCGAGCCACTCGTGGAAGTACCGTCCCAGTCGGTCTTCGCCACATACTGTTGGTGAATCTTCACACGAAGCACGGTGGACTTTACCGTTTCTTGCTTGCCCAGTTTGGCCCCATTGTTGGCCGGGGCGGGCGCAGTTTTCCCTGGTGAGCTTACCAGGGTGAAGTGCACTTGTTTGACCCCTGTTTTGGTATGTGGTTTCAATCTTTCCATTTCTTTATGTCTTGCCTTCACCACTTCGCCATGGTTGTTTCCCTATTGTGGGGTTCAGAGTCTCTACATATGACATAGCATTTCAAGTTGGACATCAGAAAACCACCATGTCTTGCTGGTTGGAGCTGGGGTTTCAGGTTGGGAAAATCTCAACTATCATATCACGTTGACTGGCTGTATCCGATACAATATCATATAATATCCCAATTATCATCCAAGAACTGTTGGTTATACTGTTGGTATAATCCATGAAATGTTCCAGCCTAATAGCATCAAAAAATGCATATTCATATCGCTGTTGGCTATGCCCGATTTTTTGGGTCATAATTCCCGAATTATTGTCCACACTATTTTCCCGATTGAATTAATAATTCACTGATTAAATCCATATGTTTTATGGTATAAATCCCAATAGTTCACCCTGACCCTGTTTGATGGTTAAATCCACCCTTTTTGTGTAATTGAGCCATGAAAAATACCACTATCTCATCCCATAAAATACCCTAGGCTTAGTTCACAAGCTCCAATCTGCAATCAATAATCAATAAGCCTATTTGGCAACCAACATCAAACCAACTATCCCTGCAGTAAGCCCCACCATGGATTTTACCAATTTCTATCTTTTCGGGAATTGCTATAGGCTTATTCATCCCACCCCCTTTTCTTCCCAACACCCCATTAAAACCATTAACATTACCCTGTTATAGGTACATCCCTAAATCAACCAGTAGTAAGCATAAGTCCCGTAATTAATCCTCATTAATCCCATTTTATAATCCCCATTAAACATCCCTGCTTTAATACATATTTTGGGGAAACCTGGAAATGTGAGATACTAGATACATGTTGATTGATATAATATATATATATATATCATCAATTGTCATCCGCACCATCCTGGAAACAGGATCCGTAGACGCTGGGATGATGGATGGACTTTTTTTTATTCTATGGATAGCTTCGAATCATGTGGTAAACGCAATGGGATGGTTTATGGCATTCAGGATGTTCATCATGTGGCATCGACCATGGTGCCGAACGTGGTTTCAAGAATGCCCGTCATGAACCGATCATTCTCCCGTCATTTAAGCTTTAAAAAAATCCACGCAATTATTAACCAATCATTGTATAATTATCATCCTCTTTTTTAATATTATCCCATTCTTATGCCAGTATTCACCATCATTAACCAATCATTATCCCATCATGTAGTCATCCTATAAAAAGATGTGTAGTATAGTAGATCAGTAGATGTAATTTTTTTTAAAAAAAAAAAACATTTTGGAGGGTGCTGTATTAGTTGAGGGCGCCTTCACCACGTCCATTATTATTATATCAACTATCATTACTATCCCCTTATGAACCAGGTATTAACCATTAATGACCAATTATCATAATAAATCATATATATATATACACATGTATATTAGTATGTCCTCATTAAATATTCATTAACGAGCCGTATTAACCAGTCACAACCATCATCCCCTAAACCAAGGCACCTTCAAGGCTTCCTCTGAGGTCCGGCGAACCAGGTCCACAAGGCCGGGCAAGGCCAACCAACGGCCCTGTTAAAAGAAGGAGTCATGTGGTTAATATATGGCTAATATATGGATAATATATGGTTTAATATATGGACAAACTATGGTTAATAATAGTTACCCTCTGGTAAACGTTGACATAGCTATTCAAAATGACCATTTTTCTGGTGACTTTTCCCATGAAAAATGGTGATTTTCGATAGTTATGTAAACGTTTACCAGAGGGTAAGGATGAAACATGGGATTTCAATTGAGGTTTTATGGGATGGAATGGGTTTCAAGGACGTTTTTCAAGGGATTTCAAGGGGATTTAATTAGTAGGATTTAGTGGGTCTTAAAGGGTTTCAATGGGTTTTGATGGATCATTTCATAGGATTTCCGTTGGTTTCAACGCGTTTTCATGAGATTTGTTGTGCTTCTAACGGGTTTTGAAGGGTATCTTGGCTGAGTCCGCGGGACTTCAATGGGTTAATCAACGCTTTGGACACATCGAGCAGCTCATGGGGATGTGTCAAACCTTTGATGCTCCTTATTCATTGACTTCGGGTACGTGGACTGATGTCGCAAACAAATCATCCGCCAATGGTGCAATTTCCGGAGTGAACACCGCATCCTTAAGATTTGAATCTTACCTGGGGATGGATAAAATCATGAAAACTTTAATATCGTTGGTACAAATCACAGGAAATCAACGACTTTTGGGATGATTACCCCTATTTGCCGTGACCTTGTGGTAAGGTCAAGGTCAATAATTACAGAAAAAGATGGGGCCTAGCCCTGGTCCTTGAAAGTGTACGAACACCATCAGGGATATTGGATAGTTGGTCATTCTTTGGATCTTTTCGGTAAGACAAATGGGGCCACATTTCATCAAGTTCATCGAAGCCATGACTGGAGACAAAAGGCTCTCCGCACCGGGGTCGTTATGGGATGAAACTGGAACTTTGTTTGTTCCTGTATATGCATATATATATAGATATATGTATATATATATATGTGTGTGTCATGTGTGTGTGCGCGCGTCTAAATACATGTGTGCATATAAATCTATAAACAATTGTAGTATTATTATTATATACACATTTACATTCTATTTCGCAGCGACATGGATATGTCCCAGAACATTTCACCATGCTAGTACCCGAGCCCTAATCATTTTCCGAGAAGCTTTCCTCAGAATTCATCCCTTCCCCGAATATATTTAATATTGAATACATTTGAATACCTTAGGAATAGAAAGACCCGCTTCATGTTGGGGGCTCATGCGGGTGCTATTTAGTATTCCATTGGCTATAGATGGTCTAACACTGTTGAACTCCCAGGCTTCACTAATTTATATGGTAAAACTGTAAAACTCACCCTTTTGTTCAAATCCATGGGGTAGGGATAGGGTTGGCCACCCAAACAAAAATACATCGCCAAAGCTGGTGGCACCTCATCTTTCAGTTTCTTCCTGTAGTGTGCGAAGGCGTGACCCTGCCAATCCTTGGAAGCGTTGACGGAAATGGCTGGGGGGTAAAGCTATACTCATGGGATGTGTGTTTAAAAATATCTTATAGTTTCATAAGTTATATAATTATACCTTATTCGGTTCCTGCGTGCAAGCGCCATAAGATTTCAATTGGGTGTAGAAGCACCTGAGAGAGTATTCAGATATGAAATGATATGAAACGTATGAAGAATGGATTGTATATGTGGGTGTATGATACTGTGCTGAATGCACCCACACGCTATGCGTAGGCTTCACAATGCATCCAACAACATGTCAGCTTGAGCAATGTATCCATAATAGTTTACAGCTTAAGCTGCACCCAGTGGGAGAAAAAAAAACATATTCATCTATATTATTAAACAGTATTAAACTGATGTATCTAAAACAGGACTTCCCATGGCCATGTCACTTTACCTCAGTACCATTTGCTGCTTCAAAGTCCCATCGTTGGTGGCCAGCTGTAGCCAAAATTGGGTCGTTGGGCTTGTCTGTCCCCCATTCCAACCTGTGGTATAGAAAAGCTTTCTGCCAATTCAAATTGCCACAGTTTGGGGGTAAATCCCAACGTTTGGACAAAGCCTGTTGAAGAGCCAGCATTGAACATGGCTGTTCTGTGATTATGTTGGACTGCACATGCCCATTTTCTCCGAAGTGCAGCATGTTCTCCACATGGTTTTGTCCAAACACTGGGGGGTACCAAAATCTATGGCGGTGGAGAAAAGGACCTTCTGAACCCTGGGATTGTTGGGGGTATGAACAATTTGTGCTTGTTATGTGCTTGTTTCGTGCTTGTTCAATCCATATCTTTCTTATTTTGCCAAGTTTGTTGGTTGGATTCAAAAACCTTTTTTCCAGCTTATTTTACTTACCACTTAACGAAATCTGCTGGTGAAATCTCCCCCAAATCTGCCGCCACGCCCAAGCGTCTCCAGGTTTCACCCCACGCAGCGCTCGCTTGGCTTGCGCCAGCTCCTCCTCGTCGCTGCGGAGGCGTTTCCTCACGAAGGGTCCGTGGAAATTGGTGGAATGGCGCCTCTTTAGTGGGAATGATTTACCTACAATTGGGTGCAACCCTGTATAATTGGGTGATCATAATTTAATATAATTTATCAATGATTGATGATTTACCGTTTATGGAAGCAACATGAAGCCACCTATAAATTCTATACCCTCTAATTGGGTGAAGCAACCCTGTAGTGGCATCCATTTATGGAATTTCTAACCGTTTTCTATGGAAACCCCAAAACAAATGCCATTTTTAGTGTTTCCAGGATGTGAGCAACCGATGATATAAAAACCATTAAAAACCTTCCGGTGTCATCAAACATGCCAATGGAAAACCCACTTAATATAGACTAGATGAATTTCCATTTTTTTCACCTTGATTTAGTTTGGGGGTTTGGGGACTTCCCAGCTAGCCATGTTTGATTGCCGGAGTGCGTAGTTAATTAACATCAATTAGTGTCCAATCAAATTGGCATGAGGCTCTCTCAACTGATAAGTTTCAAGTCAGTTGGTATTGAGTTATCTATATTGCTGTGGTATCTGGTACCTACAGGTACCTATACTTAATTGATGTTAGTTAAGTTCAGTGGTTAGTGAACTGGCAAGTGATTAGTAAATAATCAATGATGGAGTCAGCTGATGGGGTCACTAGTCACTAGTTAATGGTTTCACATACACCACGAATTCCCCACAGCTAACTATAATCTGATATTATATGCTACAGTAACGTGGTTATTCAACACTGGCTGGTTGGTTGTTGGCCAGACTGACATGAGACAGCTTTAAGGCAATGGGACAAGAAATCACCACGGGGAGCCTTAGATACCTTGAAAAAAACATGTGTTTTTAGCTGGTTAGTATATAGTATACAGCTATAGCCCTTGAATAGCAAAACTTAGAATACAAACAGCGCCACTCCAAACCGCAAGATCCCCATGAGCCACATGTTTGGAAGGCATGACCATGGTTGACCATCGGTAATTTTTTGGACAACAATGGGTGCAGTGACCATTGATTCAATCATACGCTTCGGACTTTTGACTTCCCTACCATCTAAACCATCTACCTCAAGTATGATAATGAACTGGATAACTATCCCCAACCGTAGAGAGACACCAGTCAGTCTTTGGCAATGAAACATGTCCGTGGTGTGGTTCTTCATTCTTGATTATACGTTCCATAATTTTCCTCTTAAAAGATGGTGATTCTCCATTGCCGCCAAAATAAATTCGCACAGGCTGTGTACACGGATAGGATACAACGATATTAAAGCGTGCCCCCCAGTTATGTTCGTTGGTTTATTAACCCGATGAATGATCTAAGACTCTAAGATATATCTACCACAAATCATAAAGATTTCACCTATAAACATCCATAAACATCTGTCAGCTATCTAATTAAACCCCATTAAACCATATAAAGTTCCATTAAATCACCATTTTTCCATGAAATCCCAATAAAAATCACCATGTTTGCTGCTAACGTTGCAGCTCAAATGTTAGCACCAAGCTGAGCTCCCGCACACATCATTGGTGCGAGGGTCGATGGGTCGAATCTTCCTCCGGCGGCTTCCAATGCCGAAAACATGAAAGCTACACATACTGTGGGTGGTTGCGAAATCCTGCACCAGTTGATAGGCGGTTTGTCCATGTTTATCATTGTTTATCCGTTTTTTCGAGGGTTTCAACTGGTGGTGCACGATTTCTTCCATCCACGGTATGGAGGGTAACTAGTGATTGATGTTGTGACTCTTCTTTTGAAATAACTGATCATTGATCACCACTGGCCGTTTTCCATAGATTATGATGACGGTTAATTGGTCGTCAATACTCGTTTATTATATTTTAATGATGGTGAATTAATCATGATGATGATGATGATCAATGGTGGCTAATGATGATTAATGATGATTTCACGATGGTTAATGATGGTCAATGATGGAGAATGATGGCTAATGATGTCTCACCATGGTTCTCATCATGGTTAAGTACCTAGGGAAATAGATGAGAAGAATAAACTATTGACCATCATGAACGCAACAATCGAACTGGGATGCTACCCTTAGATGGCCATTTAATGGGGAACATGATGACAAGTTGTATCGAATTTGGAGGTGAATATGTTCAAAACCACATATATATATAATGTTAAGTAACAACATTGTCCAACACACAATTCGTGTACAGTTCAACAGCTGCTGGATGTCACTGTCAACATTATGGATCAACAGGCCTTGAGCCTGAAGCTATCCTGAGACTGTTTGCCAACAGTACAAAAGAGTGAGCGCGCACAGCATCAGCTGCAACATTGATACAACAGAGCTGCCTGAATCTTTTCATGGTAGCGGAGCAGTGATCCTGGAAGCATCCAGGTGAGCTCCAACAGGCAGAGGGCTTGATCCCAGAACACTGGGGGACTCTCAACAACAGCTGGAGCAACAAAGGGTAGCAGCCCAACACCACCACTGCAACGACAAGGTAAAGAAACAAACTCAACAACAAGGTGCGCAGGAAGAGGGCTTGATCCCAACTATACAGTGTGGGGGACCCTCAACAACAAGGATGGCGACGCCACATGAGATAGGATCGCCAACAGCAGGAGAAACACAAGCAGAAGCCCTAGGATCAACACACAGGCTGAAGTTGAAACCTCCAACATACGATGGAAACTACGCAACATTCGAGGAATGGAAGTACAAATTCTCAGCATACATGGGCCTACAGGACAACATCTTTCCACAACTGCTTTCAAGAGCAGAAAGAGCAACAACAGTGCTCACAGATGCAGAGCTGCTCGGTGCAGCCTCAACAATAGAGCAAGGAGAGAAATGGACACAACTTTGCAACAACCTCAAATACATCCTTATCAACATCACCAGCGGTTCAGCAGCAACAGTTTGCAGACAATACCAAGACGCAATGGGCCTAGAGGTCTACAGGCAACTGTGCAACAGGTTTGCAATACCTGTTGGAACAAGAAGCATAGGCTACCTCACAAAACTACTCAAGCCAACTTTCGACATCAACAACTTTGAGGAGTCCTTCTCAACATGGGAATTTGAGCTTGCACGTTACGAGCGTGACAACAATGCACAACTACCAGACCAAGTGAAGATAGCAGTTCTCATGAATGAGACAACAGGACCACTCCAACAACACTTACACCTCAATGCCAGCGCAACACCAACATATGCTGAAGTGAGGACAACAATCATGGAGTACTACAGAACCACAACTGCGTTCTCAAGACTTCAACAACAGTCGTCTTCAGCAGTCAGCAGCAACTTAGGAGGAGGCCCAGCTCCAATGGATATTGGAGCAACATATAAAGGCAAAGGAAAAGGAAAAGGAAAGAGCAAAGGAAAAGGATTCAACAAAGGAGGTCACAAAGGAAAAGGATACCACCAAGGAAAAGGCTACGGAGGCTACGGCAGTTACAACAAAGGAAAGGGCAAAGGAAAACAACAGCAATGGTATCAGCCAAAAGGAGTAGAGAAAGGAAACAAAGGAAAGTCGAAAGGAGCTCACAACAAAGGAAAAGGAAAGAATCCAACAGCAATATGCTACAGATGTGGTCAACAAGGCCACTTGGCAAAGGATTGCCGAACAGCGGTGTACAACATTGCAGAGACACCACAGGAACAGAACCAGGATGGAACATCCCAATGGTATGACCCAAACAGTGGGTACGACAACTACTGGTACAGCAACGACCAGTCAGGCAACTACAACATCCAGCCAGTACAACAACAACAACTAGCTTTGCCAGCGCCACAAACCAACACGCAGACACCAACAATACAACTTGTAGGAGCACTGGGCCATCAGGCAGCAAGTGCCCACAATGAAGCAACCACCACAGCTCAAGCAGTGCAGCAGCAGAGAGGAGACAACGAGGTGGACGTTATGATCGACAGTGGAGCAGCAACACACGTTTGTCCAACATGGTTTGCACCAGACACACCACTGTATCCACTACAACAAGGACAAGGACCTAGGTTGAGGACAGCAACAGATGAGGATATCCCAGTGCATGGCTACAAATGGGTGTACATGCACAACACCAACAAGCAAACAATAGTTGTTCCCTTCTATGTGTGTGATGTGACGCAACCCATCATGTCAGTAACAAGACTGGCAGAACAAGGGTTCAACACACAACTTAACGAAACACCAACAATCACACACACCAAGGGATTCAACTCAGCACTCAAACAACGAGAAGGCCTATACTTCTTGCCAGTTGTGCTGATCACACTTCCAGCCAACTTGAGGCTTGAAGTCAACCAGACAGCAGAAGGAACAACAGCAAGAATAGCACCGGTCACACTGACTCCAACAGGCATGGAAGTCCTTCGCAACAAGAATGACCTATGGACATTCAACAGCCAAGGTTTCTTGGTAAGAGTCCACAGGACAACACGCAAGGCATTGTTCATGCCAGACAGCAGATGTCCAGTTCCAACAGAAAGGTTGGAGAACTACAGAAGAACAATCATACAAAGACCAAACAACAACACAGAGGTCATGGAAGAAGCATACCAAGACCTCGACAAGAAGCAACAGAAGAGGATCATACAAGGAAACAACTGGACAGGAGAAACATGGTTCAAAGTGAAACGTGGAACAGTACTTCCAGGCAACATACCACCACAACCAGCACTTCCACCAGCTAAAGAGCCAGCGACACCATCTCAACAAACCACAGTTGACCAACCACAAGCACCAATGTACCGACACAATGTGAAGAAGCCTCTCACAGAGGTAAGGCCAACAGACCAAGCAATGACCACAACGCAGCCATATCAAACAGCAATTCCACATCCAAAGGAAGTCAGTCCAACACAGGACTATTGGATCAAAGAAGGTCCATATTGGAAACGTGTGCATGTCCAACCAAGAAGGGACATGTACATTCCACAACAAACAGATGATGGACCAGACGTGACAAGACTGACAACGTGGAGACAAACAATGGTGAAACCAACAAGTGGCAACAGAGGATATAGAATAGATGATGACTGGACGACAAAGAGGAAAGCAACACTCGACATAGAGTGGACAGGCTCAACAAACTTTGAAGAACACGCATCATACAAAGATGAGTTCATCACAGATGAGCCAGAGGAGCAACAAGAAGCCAAGAGAGCAAAAGGAGTGCCAACACCACAACAACCAACAGAACAAGAAAGAAGAGAACACGAGCTCACACACCTTCCCTACAGAAGCTGGTGTCCAACATGTGTACAAAGCAAAGGAAGACAGGACAACCATCCAAAGCAAACAAGCAAAACACCAGTGATCCAAGTGGATCTGATGTACTACAAAGCACTAGGAGAAAAGCAAACAACATCAGTCCTTACAGCAGTGGACGTTGAAACAGGCATGTGTATGGCAGTCCAACTTGAGAACAAGACACAACACGTACAATACCTGTCAGTTTGCCTTCAACAATTCCTCATGGAATGTGGCAGAACACATGCAATTCTCAACAACACCGTTCTTCAATCAGACCAGGAAGACTTTATCATCACCTTGCTCAAGATGGTGGCAACAGCCATGGGTAGCAACATAGCAGTCAGGCAAGCACCAGCCTACACATCACAAGCACAAGGAAGCGTTGAACGTTTCCACAGAACATTGATGGGCCAAGTCAGAGCTCTCAAACTCCAATTGGAGACCAACTATGGCATCAAGCTCAACAGCAAGCATCCCATCATGCCGTGGCTTGTCAAACACGCAGCATACCTGCTCAACAGGTATTCCACCCACTCAGATGGAAACACAAGCTACTACAGACGATGGGGCAAAGAACACAAAACACCAATATGTGAATTTGGTGAAACAGTTCTTTACATGCTACCAACAGCAAAACATATGCCAAAGATGGAAGCAAGGTTCTATCCAGCCATCTGGTTGGGTAAGGACAACTCAACAAACGAGAACATACTTGGCATCAGCAACAAAGTGGTCAGAGCAAGGACCATAAGAAGACAAATAAAGCCAGACAAGTACAACAAGCAGTTGATGGACATCATCAACTCTTCACCAGCCATGATACCACCAACAACACCAAGCATTGTGGTACTACCACAACCCGCTGCTGCAAAGCAGCAGACAACAGCAAGTACACAGACTCAGCAGAGTCCACAGCCACAAGCCATGGAACAACCACACGCCACAACACCACCAGCACTTACAGACCTTCCAATGGCAACAGCGCCAGCAACTCAGCCAGCAAGGCAGCCACTTCCATTGCCGACACAAGGCAAAAGAGAAGTAGCAGATGAGATCACACAAGGTAGCTCACCAAAGCAAGCAAGAACAACAGAGAGAGCCACAGCAGCAAGCAGACCTGAGACAGCTCAGGAGCCACCAACAACAAGGATGAGGATATCACAAGTCACAGTCACAACAAAGAAAGGACAGAAGATAGAAGCAACATCAAATGAGGATGAACAGGAGATCAAAGCAGAAAAGATTCTCCTGGAACCTTGGGTGAGCAACACCGAAGGTTTAGACAAAGAACAAACAACTGAAGGAATGAAGCAAGAAATCAAGTCAATGAAGGAACAAGGAGTGTACACAGAAGTACACATAAGTCAACTCACACCAGAGCAACGCAAGAAGATTATCAAGTCAAGATGGGTTCTTCGACAGAAAGGCAACACAGTTCGAGCACGAATTGTAGCAAAGGGCTACACAGAGGAGATCAATGACAACGACGACATCTTCGCGTCAACACCAATCTTCTGCGTTCTGAGGATGCTACTCGTCTTGGCACTTTGCAACAACTGGATTTGTCTCACAGGAGACATTTCAACAGCCTTTCTACATGCAGCAGCAGCAACAGCAGATCTTTTCATGTATCCACCAGCAGAGTTCTACAACGCCTTCGACCAGATCGTCTGGCGGCTCAACAAAGCCATCTATGGCTTACGCAGCAGCCCAAAAGCATGGCAAAATCACCTGGCAGAGGTGATGCAACAACTTGGACCACGACGACTTGTCAGCGAGCCCAACGTCTACGCAACACCACAGGGAGATGCATACATACTATGCTACGTCGACGACTTGCTCTTCATTGGACAACAGGAGACGGTCAACAAGCTGTTCAAGAGCATCCAGCAACACCTCCTACTCCGTCCAACAGGAGAACTCACAGTCGGCAACACCATCAGCTTTTTGGGCAGAAACATCTGCAACAAAGGTGACTACTACGAGATCAGCTTAGTAGACAGCTACACAACGCAGATGCTGGAAGAAGCCAGCATGCTCAACTGCAACCCAGCACCAGCACCAGGCAACAACACTCTGAAAGCAACATCAGAGATGGAACAAGAACTCAACAAAGAAGAACACGCAGCCTACCGAAGAATGGTTGGCAAGCTACAATGGATGACCTACACAAGGCCAGACATTGGCTTTGCAACAAAAGAGCTTGCAAGAGCATTGACACAGCCAACAACAGCAGACCAGCAGAAATTGAAGCACTTGCTCAGGTACATCAAGGGAACACAACACTACAAACAATACGTGAGACCTACAACCAAGACACCAACAGCTGAAGCAGTACCAGACATCCAAGTCTTTGTCGACAGCGACTGGGCAGGATGCGTAACAACGAGGAAGTCAACAACAGGATTTCTAATCAAAGTCTTCGGCGCAACAATCCACTACGGAAGCAGAACACAGGCAACAATTGCGCTGAGCAGCGCGGAAGCAGAACTCTATGCGATCAACACAGGAGCAACAGAAGCACTCCACATCAGCAATTTCCTGAAGGAAGCTCTCAACATGAAGAAGATCAACATCCGCATATATACCGACTCATCAAGCGGAAAGAGCATGGCAACAAGAATCAGAGCATCAAAGAAAGCCAAACATATCGAGCTCAAACACCTTTTCATACAACAATTGGTCGCACACGACCTTGTGAGGATTGTCAAGATCAACACGATCAACAACCCGGCCGACATCTTCACCAAGTACGTTGCAACAGAGACGCTTTTGCGTCACATCAGTGATGTTGGCATCAGCACCCAGCATCACTGAACAAACAACAACAAGCAACAAGCAACAAGCAACAACAACAGTTTCACTGTAGCTAGCGTGTTAACGTGCGGACGCGTGTACAACGTGCGAACATCGTGCGTGGCATATACACACACACAAACATACATTTCTTTTTGAGCCATGGTGTCAACAAAGGTTGACAACATGTTCTATATCTACGTTATCTACTTCAACATGGAGTATATCAACATATTCATTTACTGGGAAGTTTCAACATGGTGGCCAACATGGAGATTCAACTCAGTGATTTTCTTTCTGGAACATGACTGTCTTAGACAACAAGTCGGATTGCAACATGAATTTGTTTTGTCGTTTTGATGACCATCGAGGAGTACAACTCCATCAAACCAACAGAGACGGCTAGGGAGTCAACCAACACGGTGATCCCAGCACTTTTGGGCAGCCAACGTATGCCCAACTTCGACAAGTTGATCTTAGCGCCTTCGCCACAACTGGCGCTCACAACAATGTACATGCACGCAACAGAGATGATGTTACAACGAAGATTCCAACAAAGTGGCTCATGATTACCTGGGTTGAGGATGTTCAACAACATCGTCTTCGAACAGGCAACCAGGTGATCAACATGTTCAACAGGGGCTACATGTATCCACAGCAACAGATCGAGAGTGGATGCAACCTTCGTTTCACAACGTTTGAGCTGGCATCCCAACAGATCTGGGAGACCAATGCAGATGGAGGCAACACCATGCTTCAACAGATCTGCAACTATTTCCAGTGGAACAAGGACTGGATGTGGACCTACAACATCCCGGTCCAAGTGTCCAACATGAACGTGGAATCAACACAACAGGAGAAGAGGCTCGTACTCCAATGTTTGGAGTATGGTGGAGCACAGATGCTCCATCATTTCACAACATCCACCAGGGATGCTGTGATGGAGATGCTGCAACAGATGCACAGCACCAGCATCACCAGCGGCATCAACACAGGCAACATCCTGTTCCAAGGAGCCAAAACAGTTGAGAGGATCAGGGGCAACAGCCACCTGGCAACATGGGTCGAGCAACAGTGGACAGAAGAGATGATCAACAACCATTTCAAAGAGATCAATGTGTGGCGCCTCAGCAATTTGCCACTCACCATGCCCAAGGATGAGATCCAACAGTTGCTGCGTGAGAATTGCGCAACAACCGATGATGATCAACAGATGGAAGGATGAGAAGTCATCCAACAGGTGAGACTGGCACCTCAACCAACAGTCTTTGGATCTTCAGCAGATCCCTGCGCAACAAGAGGTTCAAACGTGAGAGCCGGGAATGCGCAAAATTAGATGAGTGTTTGATCAACATCTGCGGCTGGGCAACAGATGTAAAACTACAAGCCATCAGCCCTGTACAGAGATCAACACCTAATCCAATAGTATCAACATAATGTGATTGCGTTTCAACAATGTTTGTTTTGTGCAATGTGTTGGAAGCTCCAACAAATTGAGGGGCCGTGTTAAGTAACAACATTGTCCAACACACAATTCGTGTACAGTTCAACAGCTGCTGGATGTCACTGTCAACATTATGGATCAACAGGCCTTGAGCCTGAAGCTATCCTGAGACTGTTTGCCAACAGTACAAAAGAGTGAGCGCGCACAGCATCAGCTGCAACATTGATACAACAGAGCTGCCTGAATCTTTTCATATAACTATATAATATGTGTATATACATATGCAAAACTATCCATGTCTATATGTATTAAATATTTGGTGATTTTTGATTAGCCCGTTTTCGGTCCTCTTCCAAACCCTTACGAAAGGATAAAGTTCCGTCAAACCGAGTCAAACCAACATCTGTCTGGTAACCAATCTATCAACAACGATCAAACTGTAAAAAAACATCTATTGACAGTTGTTTACTTCCACTCATTTCAATGGAGCAATCCTTCCCCCTAACATGTGAACCCCCACCAATCGAAACCGTAGCTCTACTACTGGATCTGTTTCATTTTATAAAAGGCCGCTGGGATTACAAGGTACCTAGCAGACAAATGGCTAGTGATTCCTGATGATTGTTATTGATGGTTAATGATTGCTGACATTAACCATGATTAACCATTGTGGATCATTATTCATCAGCATTCATCATCACTAATCATTAACCACCATGAACCATCATAAACCATCGTTTACCATCATGAATCATCATTAACCCATTGACTGTCTCCATCGTTTATGGAAATGTGGCTAAACATATGATGTTTCGTTGGAGTCATAACTCATAACCTTCATCATTAATTAGTTGACACGTATTGATTGTTACAGTAATGACCATTAACGAAATGATCACCAATCATCATGAACCATCCTTATTCACCATCAGTCAACCATCATCAACTATCATACACAGTCATTAACCAATTAAACGTCATATGCCATCTATGGAAAAATGGCCAACGATGCTCAAGCACCCGTTATTTCAAAATAAGAGTCATACCATCAATCATTGTTTACCTTCCAGCAAACTAACATGGCTTTGGACAATCCATCATTTTTCGATCATGTCCGAACCTGAAGCCTATGGATTTCCATAACATTTTGTATGCTTACTGGCTGGAGGCTAATATACTGATTTTCGCTGAATCATAGTGATTCACTAACCTGAAAATAGCTGACACAACTGCCGCCAGCAATGGGGAAGATTCCCCGCAATCGAGCCATCCTTCCAGTGACATCATAGCGAGGTCTCTTTATGATTCATCCAGATCTTTGTCATCCAATGAAATCCCATAAAGCATCCCATTATATATTGTTCATCATTGGTTCATCCCATTATATATGGTTCATCATAAATTCATAATCACTATTTAATTTGATAAAGAATTTGTTCTATTGGTTCACCCCACTAACACCCAAATTCTATGGCGATCCAGATCGCCTTGCCCAACCTTTGGGCGCCAGCTCCATTTCAGCCGTTTCCTAACGGAGAAACGAAACGCAGCACTGACGCTCCAACCACAAGGGGAAGCCATATGTTTGTTACCACACATATACATGTACAATTGTAACATGTGTGTATGTAAAATCTTGTAAATACGTATGGACCGTATGGATATATATATATATGTGTGTGTGTGTGTTTTCTCTCACTCTCTCTCCCTCTCTCTTTTATACGAGTAAATTAATATATAAATTATCTATAAATCATTTGCAATGCATATGATTGTATGTGCGTATGGGTTTGCTGCGAGTTTTTCCTTGAACCAATTCTCGGAAGCATCCCTTTTCATAAATGAATATATCTTCAATAAAGCATGTGGCTTCGAACTTGAATGAAAGTGAATTTAACAGAATAAGTCAGCCAACTAACGATTCAATATGTTTTTACTGGTTCAACAACCCTTGGGAATACGTATACCATGTAGGGAATGTATGTGGTATGCTGTCTGGTTGGTTTCCAATACAGAGCTAGTTCCTCGATGCTCCCGCACGAGCCCGCTCATGGCCAAAACGAGCTATTTTTCTTGGCAGGAACAGCCTCCGTGTTGGAACAACATGAGACATTCTTGTACATAATTGGTATAGTATCATATAAATATATAATTATACATGTGTGTGAAAACAATGGGCAAAAACTGAAATTCTTAACCTCCCCAAGCTGAAAGTGTTGAACTCTAATAATTAAGTGCATATAATCAAGTAGTGTGTGTATATAATGTTAGTTAGTAAAGCAATAAAAAAACCACCCGTATAAACTGATGGTTTCTACATGTTTGTGCCACCCATTTATCGAATTTTCTTGGATTGTTTACGGTTGATTCTTCGTCAGTTGGGATGATGAAATTCCCAGCATATGGAAAAATAATCCAAATGTTCCAGTCACCACCAACCAGATAATGTGCATCCCCATTGAAGTACCCCTTGGGCCGGCACTTCCGGGTCAAACGGGCCCATGCTCCGCGGCTGGGAGGACAACGCCGACGTCCTCGCGCAGCGGGCTGGGGATTGGCTCCAGTTGACGATGCTAAACCTATGGAAAATCAGAGGCAAATAAATCGGGGGGATGGGATTCTATGGTTAACAATGATCAATAATGGTCAATAATGTACATAGAATGCTAACAATGGTTATATAATGATTAATAGTGGTTAATAAGGGTACAGCAAACGTAATTGCTAATATTGGTTAGCAATGGTTAATAGTGGTTTTAAAAAAAGGGTAAATTATGATCAATAATGGTTTTCGTAATGGTTGACAATGGCTAATAATGGTCAACAACGGTTAATGATGGTTAATAGTGATTGATTCCATGGCACTGTGGGATGGTTTTTTTTAACGCATTTGTTGTGAAAAATATGCGAGTATAAAACTCATGGTTGGCGCTAATTGGACCCACACAGAAAAATGGGGGATTTGTGGAAATATATATATATATATATACTGGTTGGTGGTTTCAACCCCTCTGAAAAATATGAGTTCGTCAGTTGGGATGATTATTCCCAATACATGGAAAAATAATCCAAATGTTCCAAACCACCAACCAGATATTTATATATATATAATATACCCCTTAATAACCCTTCATATGCCTGGCTATACTAGTCATTTAGTGATTGAATTTGGTGAATATTTACAAAGTCATTGCGAAGCCACTGCGACAAAACCTCCGATGAACCCGGATTGAAATCTTACCAATTTCTGGCAGGTCAGAAAGGGGATTGTTTTTTCTTCGGCCCCAGCTGGACCCACGGTGGGGGTTTTGTTCTTTCATTGCATTAACATCTGGTTGGTGGTTCACCTACCCCTCTGAAAAATATGTGTTCGTCAGTTGGGGTGATTATTCCCAATATATGGAAAAATAAAAAATCTTCCAAACCACCAATCAAACATCTTCAATGGGTTCATATTGTTTTTCCCCTCTAGGTCCATGTTCAACCCCAACCTTCAAACCGAGTGTCGTTTATATAAGTCTTTAGTTTCTATTCATTTTGAATGGTACCCAAATATATTAGGTGTTCCCGACCATATCAACCATGGTCCAGTTTTATGCAACCTTGCAGCTCCTATCTTGAGGTGGACCTGCAATTCGCAAAATTCTTGGACATCATCCAAAATAATCTGAATTCGTTCCAGAAAGCATCCCTGATGTCGTAAACGTAACAATGTCAACCCATCACTGGTCAGGATTTGTCATTCTGGACTGGCATAAATGACAAACAAAAAAAAACAGACACCATTTACCATCATAAACCATTGGGGCTATTAAAACTGTACCTAAGCCCTAAGCAACAGGTATTCTATTCGGTCTGTTGGGTTCACCACATGAGAATCGAGAATTTCATACCATCTTTAACCTCACCGGGCGCCAATGAAGTGACAAATGGCTGGTCATTCTTAGGATCTTCAAATCCCGACAGGGGTCAGTGCTGATGATACGAGACTACATGACAATTTGCATTGGTGATGACAATTGATGATATGATATTATTTCTTGATCATCCTTTATCTACCTGCCTGGCCTAGCTATCCATCTATCTACATATCTGCCGAATCTGCCTACATGAATATGAGAGAGAAAGAGGTATTTACAATAAACAAACAAATACTATATATATATACATATATATATATATAATGGCTCTTTATTACTATGTAATCTCCTGCTTCCGTTGCAGCTCCATTCGCACAGGAACTACCTGAGGCACAAACGCTTGCTTCTTTTCAGATCTCCAATCACGTCTGCAAGTGTGGCCCCTGGATGTGCACGACAAACTGAGGCCAAAAGCTGCCCATCAGGCAAGACAACGCGAAGACTCGGCAGGCAAACGTTCAGTTTACGCGCGATACGCCTGTGAGCATCCCATGCGAGATCAGACCTAAGTAAACTCAAGCATAGGACTTCTTCCCCGGTCAGACCGGAGAATGTCAGCCGCACTTCATTCTCCTCACGAACAGGATCAAGCTGCAGCACAAGGTCTCTACCTTGCAACGTAGGGCAAACATAGAACGTCCCTGCTTGAGGCGACGGAATAATACATTCTCCATAAATGTTCTCTCCGCAAGCCACAGCACGGCCGTCGCTTCGGAGAAGTGCTGTATGGCTCCCTCCAGCAGAAACCTGGGTGTACGACACTCCATCATCCAAGGGCGGGATGTTGCATTGTCCAAATGCATTGTTTCCACAAACCACAACAAATCCATCACTTCGGAGAAGCGCTGTATGGCTCCCTCCAGCAGAAACCTGGGTGTACGACACTCCATCATCTAAGGGCGGGATGTTGCATTGTCCGTATCTATTGCATCCGCAAGCACCAGCACAGCCATCACTTCGGAGAAGCGCTGTATGACTCCCTCCTGCAGAGACGTGGGCGTATGACACTCCCTCGTCCAAGGGCGGGATGTTGCACTGTCCATATCTGTTGTTTCCACAAACCACAACAAATCCATCACTTCGGAGAAGCGCTGTATGGCTCCCTCCAGCAGAAACCTGGGTGTACGACACTCCATCATCTAAGGGCGGGATGTTGCATTGTCCGTATCTATTGCATCCGCAAGCACCAGCACAGCCATCACTTCGGAGAAGCGCTGTATGACTCCCTCCTGCAGAGACGTGGGCGTATGACACTCCCTCGTCCAAGGGCGGGATGTTGCACTGTCCATATCTGTTGTTTCCACAAACCACAACAAATCCATCACTTCGGAGAAGCGCTGTATGGCTCCCTCCAGCAGAAACCTGGGTGTACGACACTCCATCATCTAAGGGCGGGATGTTGCATTGTCCGTAGTCATTGCATCCGCAAGCCACAGCACAGCCATCACTTTGAAGAAGCACTGTATGACCCCCTCCCGCAGAAACGTGGGCGAATGACACTCCATCGTCCAAGGGCGGGATGTTGCACTGTCCAAATATATTGCTTCCACAAACCACAGCACAGCCATCACTTTGGAGAAGCGCTGTATGGCTCCCTCCAGCAGAAACCTGGGTGCACGACACTCCATCATCTAAGGGCGGGATGTTGCATTGTCCGTATGTATTGCATCCGCAAGCCACAGCACAGCCATCACTTTGGAGAAGCACGGCGTGAGTATCGCCTGCCGAAACCATTGCAGATCAATACCAAGCTGGCCAAGAGTGGGAAATTCTTGGGTTACAGGACAATTCTGTCATTTCCTGCATCAATAACGGTGTTTCGCGTGCCTGATGACTGCTGCTAGCTGTCTGGTAGGAGGATTTCAAGAAAAAAAGATGAAAAAGGTTGTGAAATCAAAACCTGCAATCGTGCTGCGGTGCTTGGGCCATTTGGCTATTGCCCTTCTCCTGGTTCCAAAAATTCACACGAAACTCCGCTCAATCTGTTGATTCATTGCTGTCATTTGAGGTTATTAGAAAATATATATAATATACTCATTTATACTCCGGCAAGGGGGCCCAAACAGCGTGTGGGAAGTTACTTGGGGGAAGCCTGGCGGGAAGTCACGCCCATGGACCTCTAGAGTCTAGAGTATCTTTGATTCTTATAGAAACCAACCAGGACAGAATCTTCCACGTTTGATCCTGCAAAAAAGGTGCGTTCTGCCGCGAGAGCTTAGGCTGGATGAAAAACCACTGAGACCACCGCGTGCAGAGACGAATTGGGTCACAGATCAGGTAGCTCAAAGAGAAGAGAGAACACGGAGGCTAGAGACGCAGGCTAGAGAAGAGGTAGCTCAGTGAAGTAGGTTGGAGTAGAAGTAGCTTGGGATTTCCTTCATTCATTCATTCACCCACTCACTCACTAATTCAACACTACTTCATTAGTTCATTTACTCAAATACTCATTTGCTCATTCACTCATTTCACTCAATCATCTCACTAATCTCATTCATCTCATTCCGTCAACTCATTCAGTCAGTGATGCATTCAAAAGACTTTCTTGCAGGCCCTTGTCCCATGCCATAGCCAGCACTCTTTCCGAAACGTCCACCCCGGCACGGCAGGGAACTGTACCAGTAGGAATCTCCCGTGGCTGTTCCACCTGGGTTTGGGGGCAGCTACCCTATTTTCAGGAAAATTACTTTACTTCGTGTGATCCCCACCATGACATTTATACATTTTGTTACTGGCAAATCTTCTGGCATTCTATCTGACATTTTATCTGGCATTCTATCTGGCATACCTTCTGGCATTCTATCTGGCATATCTTCTGGCATTCTAATCTGGCAAACATTCTGGCACTTTATCTGGCATATCTTCTGGCATTCTATTTGACATTTTATCTGGCATTCTATCTGGCATACCTTCTGGCATTCTATCTGGCATATCTTCTGGCATATCTTCTGGCATTCTATCTGGCATATCTTATAGCTTTCTATCTGGCATATCTTCTGGCATTCTTTCTGGCCGTTGAGGTCCAGCAGTGCACACTGAGCTGGGAAGGTCCCAGGTTGAGGTCCAGCGGTGCACACTGAGCTGGGCAGGTCCCAGGTTGAGGTCCAGCGGTGCACACTGAGCTGGGCAGATCCCAGGTTGAGGTCCAGCGGTGCACACTGAGCTGGAACGGTCCCAGGTTGAGGTCCAGCGGTGCACACTGAGCTGGGAAGGTCCCAGGTTGAGGTCCAGCGGTGCACACTGAGCTGGGAAGTTGGCAAAGAGCTTGGCGCAGAGAGTCGGCGAAGAGAGTTGGCAAAGAGCTTGGCGAAGAGTTGGCAAGGCGGAAGTGCAGGTGGAAGTTGATGCAGACATGGTCGAGGAGAAACTGGAGGAGGAGGACGAGGAGGAAGAGGACAGCTAGTCGAGGAGGAGGAGGAGGAAGAGCGCTCTGATAAAATCTAACAACCCTCACCTGGCAGGTGGGGAAAAACCCATTGTGGTTGTGGATGCAAATGGTTGAACAAATGCCTCAACTTGTTTCAAATTATGGTTCAATAATGTTCAATATCATTTTAGAAGCTGACATTTGCTATCCCAATTGACATAGACCCCAACTAATCACACATTTGAGAGGAGAGTAGTCTTCTCCCCATATTGGCCGTGCTAAGCCGTGAAAGCAACCGACGGTCAAAACTGCCCCGGTCCAGCTGGTGTGTGACCAGGTGGAGGCTTCCGAAAAGAGACTGGGCTTCAACTCATCCAGACCTTTGACAACTCGGCGGGCTGCAGAGTGTGTCACTTGGGTCACCGACCCAATTGCGGTTGAATGGGGTTAATGGAGTTTAACCCATCAGGTTATGGTGATTTTGTGGGATTTTAGATTTATATTATAATAGTATATAATAGTTATAATGGGAAATTGCCATGATTATCCATGATTACAATCCCATCAAGGGTTTTGTTCTAAAAAACTATCGGGGCTGTCGCGTTCGCAAATGATCCCCCAACTGGCGGAATCATCCCCAACTGGCAGATTAGAACCCCATCCCCCACAACTCACGGGTTTTCGCTCGTTGGGGGACTTGCAATCCCAAGCCACTAAAAAAATGATGGGTTTAAACGTGGTTTATATAATAACTTATTATTGGCAATCCAATCTGCAACAGATTGAGTGAAGGAATATCAAGGAATAAACATGTTGCACCCAATGAATTGATGGTTTCAATTTGCTTGAAACATATCAATAAATTGCAACATGCCAAACTAGAATGGAGATACCAAAAAATGTTTCAGACTACAGGTATACCAGTTGACAAAACGGGGTCAAAATTTCAAATCCACCACTGGGATTTGACCAGTTTGACTCGGCTGCCTTCGCAGTTTGTTGCTGCATTTGCCGACCGCTAATCAAACATGGCAATGGGAAATCGTACAGAAAATAGAGGTTTGCAGCTGGGAAAAAATCTACAAAATCACAATTTTTCCATTGCCACGTTTGAATACCACGTTTGGTACTCATCATAAATCGCGCACACGTTGCCACTACTGAGACCCAATGTAGTTGGTGAAGGCTAAGATGGCTAAGGTCAAACCCCCATGTAAGCAGCGTCACACCTTTGCTTGGTGTAACACCGGATTTTGCAGATGGCCCCAGAAAAGAACATACTGTACCTGGGCATAAGTCTGGGTTACAGTAATGGGGATTAACTGGATATAGCTAGATATTCATTAGGATAAATATATCATTATCTGTATATTTGTTCTGGATGAATCACAAAAAAACTCACTAACCTCATAAGTTCCGCTATTTCGGGATACTGCCACAATCATTCGTCAGCTGAGCCCCCTGGCCGTCATCGCCCAGCTCGGAAAAGACCCCATGCCGACCTGACACATATGGGGATGGGTCAAAAACCTCTAAAATCACCATATTGCCATTATATTATTGGGGGTATCACTATTTGGTTTACTATTGCTTTACCCACATTATACCATATTTCGGGGGGAATAACAATCCTTACAAGAGAGTAAACATGTTCATATGTGTGTTTTCTGTGAAGGTGTTTGTCTGAACTGACTCTTTGAACTCCACTTTGTTGAAAGCTTTACTCGTTGGGGCTCGCCCTTGAAACAACTGAAAGCAAGGGAAACCCGAAATGACCGAGCCGTGAATCAAAGGTGATAGAAATTTGCCAAAGTCAATGGTCATGGTTGGTAAACCCTTAATTATGAATTCCTTGACTTTCCACTTGGACAAGTGAGTGAGACCATGTCAGAAGTGTTTTTTGTTGATACCTTACCTACCCGAACTTGCAAAGTTCAGACATGGCTACAAAAATTGGATCAAAACACATGGGAGTTTTCGAGGATTTCCTGTCAATAAACCCCCACTTTACTACTAAGGGAGGGTCCCATTTTTGCTCAATACCCTCTGGTAAACTGACTTAGCTATGGAAAATGCATGGCTTTCTTAAGTAAATCATCTAACTATTGAGCCCGCCATGGCTTCAGCGAAGGCCCGATATGGCCCTAGCCGCACCGCACCTCTCTTCGGTCGAGCAATGGTCACCTGGCTGCGGCGATGAATTCATCCATACATCATTCCATCCATCAACCACCTATTTATACTGGTTGGTGGTTGAGCCACCCTTCTGAAAAATATGAGTTCGTCAATGGGAAGGATTATCCCATATATTATGGAAAATAATAAATGTTCCAAACCACCAACCAGTATATATATATACGATGTAAATATTGTATATACGTGTATATATACATATAAATATATATATATATATCAGTATAACCTTTGCAACAAGCCTGAAAAATCTGAAAATGAAACTGCATCTTTGGAGCTGACAGGAGTGCTTTAGTAACCTCATTCACGCCTTGCTGGTAAAAAACAAAAAAAACTGCCTAGTGCGCTACTCGTATGTCCGTTGGCCAATCATACCAGCGGGATATGTTGGGGATCATCCCAGTGGCTATGGGATGCTGGTGTTGGTCAACTTCCTTAGCGGGAGAACCGGATCATCCTCGCTGTCACCGGCGTTGTTTTTCCCAACTTTACTTGGGAAATTTTCACATGTCCGATAAGTTTTGAAGCTTCAAAAGCCCAATTGATCTACCCTCTGGTAAACTAACATAGCTATGGAAAACCACCATTTTTTATAGGTAATTCAACTATAAATGGCCATTTTCAATAGCTATGTTAGTCATTACCAGAGGGTAAAGTTTGTGGGGCATATCATGCCCCTATCCACCTCAGTTGATCAAATCCTCACATCTCTTGTGACCCCATCCCGACCATCATCCCGCAACACTTTTATGGATTTTTCTGGGTAGAAGTTTCTACCCCATGAATTCCAGATGATGTAAGGTATCACTGTCATTAAGAAGTCATGTCAAATGACGATTTTTTCCCCCAAATATTAACCACCCAGAAAGCCATGGTTGAATAGGGGATAAAAAACCACATATTTGGGGACCATTTGGATGGGGATGTTTAAAGTGACCAGGGGATGAACCACTACTTGTGATGGTGATCAAAATTCTTATTGACCCCATTAATATAAGATTAATATAAGTATGAAATTCACCGGTAAATATCCCACATATATCCCACATATCCACTGGGATTAACACATATCACCCTATATCCACTGGAACCAGTACTCTATCCTCACTGGACCCAGCTCTTTGGAGCCTTCCGCTTCAGCGACGGAAGTGCCATGGGGTTACCCTCCCCGACAGGC